ATTAAATTTATATTATATTATATTATATAAAATTATATTATATTTATAGAAATTAAAATATTTATTTATAATTTAATATACATAATACATAATTTTTTAAATTTTACAATATTATAATTATACAATTTCTACAAATATTTTTATTTATTATATCAAATATTATTATTTTATTATTTTATTTAATCAAAACTATTCCAATCAATTTCCAATTGTTTTTGTTTGAAAACACAATTGATTTGTACTAATTAAATAATAGAATAATTTCTTATTATTATTCCAATTATATTATAACGAAATTATTATTCTGTGCTTTATTGATTAATTATAGAAAATTCGAGAAGCATATACATATTTATTATTACATAAGCAATAACATATTTATTCAGATAATAATAAAACAATAATAAGTACTTGAATAATTGATTGTATCATTAATTGTTAAATATTTATTCGTTCCAGTGTCTTCCTTTTACATAATACATATTACATATTCAATATGTAAAAAAATTTTTTTTAATTTTTATATTAATTGCTATAATTTATATGCTATAACTATCAATTTATCAATATTATATTATTTATATTATTTTTTTTGCAATTGACATTTTTTAATTATTTTTTATTATTATTTAAATTTTCTCCTTTTTAACAAATTAGCAATAGAGATCATATATTAATTGTATTTTTTTTGTTTCTTTCTTTTATGATTTTTTATACTTAAATAATTTAACATTTGTTATAGATTTGATATTTTTAATAAATTTCTATTTTAATTTTTATATTTATTCTATTATTCTATCATTATTACTATGATAAATTGCATTTTTTTCAATTTCAATGCAAAATAATTAATTCTAATTCTATATCATAAATAAGAAATTAATAAATTTCTGTTTAGTTATTTATTTTATATTTTAATAGACTATTAACAATAAATATATATTTGCATTTTCTTTATATTTTTATCCATCAAATAAAACCTTCAAATTGTTAAATATTATTGAAAAAATCGACTGTAATATTTTTTCAATAATCAGAAACAATAAACCATGTTATCGTAACTGCTATTAAATCATGCATTCAATTGCGATATACTGCCATGGAATTATGCATTCCATTATTGATTACTTACATTTATAAAATTTACGATTTCGTTCGATTAATAAACAGAGGAGTAAAGCAATAGATATGATATAATAGATATTTTATGATTATTTTATTTTAATTAATTAATAATAAAACGAAATTTTATATTACGTATATTTTGTAACTAATGATTGTCAAAATATCATACAATGATTTATCTTTATGAACTTTTTTCTTTGTTTGCCAAGAAGCACTTTTTATGTATAATAAATGTAATAAAATATTACATTTATTCTTATGGACTTTATACTTATATCAGTAGAATCAGTAGAAACTTTAAATCTTTTGCAATTATTCTCATCAAAATAAATTTTTCAAATAATTATCTTAATTATTATTGCAAGAAATTACTATTTTAATTATTAATAAAATAATTAAAATATAATTTATTAATATATATGTATTATATATTAATCATTTTTATCATTTTCATCATTTTCATATATTATTATTATTATTATTATTATTATTATTATTATTATTATTATTATTATTATTATTAT